GGCGCCTTAGCCGGTTGAGCTATAGGCGCCGAGCCTGATTTTTTTCTTGCAGTTTGGCTGGGGCCGAGTTTGAACCCCCCACCCTCGGTAGATGGGGCCGGCGCCCTACTCACTGAGCCACAGGCACCGCCATGACCATCATCTTGATTGACAGTGGACCACATGATGAGAAGGAAAATCAAAGCGTGGCAGATGCGTCCCCACTGTTCCAGAGGCAGAGGTTCCCGTGGAGTGATTCAGCCCTGGGGATGGGGCCACCTCCTCAGAAAGGGCTGGCTCTGGGAGGCATCTGGGCCAGAGGTGAGGCAGGGCTGGGTGAAGACCTTGGCCAGTCCCTGCATATCTTTCTACCTTCCCTCCACCACTCTTACAGACTCCTGAGGATGGTGTGGGGTGGGGAATTCTCAATCATCTTAATTTTTACAAAAAATTCATCCACAATTGTAGCCACAAAGGTGAAGAGATGGAAATAGGGTTTTAAGGATCCTTTGCATTATTTTACTTGTAAAGGTATCAAACATTGAGAATTTTAGAAATAAAAGAAATGTGAAAGGTCATCGATCCTCAAACAGTTTTTTTCTTTTGAGACAGGTTCTTGCTCTGCCACCCAGAGCTAGAAGGGAATAGCGTCAGCCTCCCAAGTAACTGGAACTACAGGTTTGCACCACTACACTTGACTAATTTTTCTATTTTTAGCAAAGACAGGGCTCACTTTGTTCAGGCTGGTCTCGAACTCCCATTCTCAAGCAATCCTTCAGGCTCAGCCTCCCCAGAGTGCTAGGATTACCAGTGTGAGCCACTGAGCCCAGCCCTGAAGCTTTTTTGAAGCCAAAGGTACCTACCACCTTCGTACAAAGTAGCCCACAGAAGCCAGTGTATCAAAGGAGAGTGAGACGCTCTCAAGGACAAACAGGGACTACTGGGACTCCACTCCACCCAGAAACCCTACTCCCTCAGGTGCCCTTCAGGCAACTCCATGCCCTTCTGAGGACTCTACCAAATGCAGCCCAAAGACCAGAGTCTACCTCTACAATTGGGGGGCCGAGACCAGATGGATCCAGGGGGTCAGTCAGTCACTCAGCTAGTAGATGGAAGCTACTGAAAGATACCGGGATTAGAACCTTGGGCTTCTCTAAACCAGTCACGAGCTGAGTGCTGAGTCCTGATCCCATCCTTCCAGGTGCCCGCCATTCTTCCCCACCTCCCTCTTAGGACCACGCGAAACCACCACCCCTGGGTCCCATGGGTCAAGTCTTTAAAGCTGCTTGTGGTGATAATGAAAGGAGGGTCAATATTTGTCCTTAAAATGGGATTAACCAGATGTTTCTGCAAACATACTGTCTTACTTTGAAGATCACCACCTGACAAACAGTCTCCCAAACCCCCAAAGGTGAATAGGTGCCCCTGGAATGTGAAATTGCTGATATGTTGAGAAAAAATTGTTTTGAAAGTGTTTTCTTTTGTTTGCACCAGAACTCAGAAATGTGTAGACGCTTGTATTTTTATTATGCTCTGGATGCTGTCAGCTGAATTTTCAAAAGCTTCACCGCAGAAGCATCTAGATTTTTCTGAATTGAGACTCTGGGTCAATAGTCTAATTTTAGAAAACATTCCAACCCACATATTGTATAAGTTCCAGACTGAGACCAGTGGTTCTCGAAGTGTGGTCCCCAAACCACACTACCTGAAAACTGATTAGAATTGCAAATTCTCCAGCAGACTGCAAAACTACTGGATTTGAATTTCTAGGGCTAAGGTCTAGAAATTTAGGTTTTAACACACCTTCCAGGTGACACTGATACACACTAAAGTTTCAGAACCACTGGTCTATGCTATTCACAGCCATTTCTGAAAAGAGGACTGAGAAACTGAGCTTGACAAACCCTTGAAAATCAGCCTTGCCAACCTATTTATAGGTATTCTAGAAACTCCATTTAAAAACCCAGTTGCAGGGCAGTGCCTGTGGCTCAGTGGATAGGGCGCCAGCCCCATATACCAAGGGTGGCAGGTTTGAACCCGACCCCAGCCAAACTGCAACAACAACAAGAAAAACAGCCAGGCATTGTGGTGGGCACCTATAGTCCCAGCTACTCGGTAGGCTGAGGCAAGAGAATCGCCTAAGCCCAGCAGTTGGAGGTTGCTGTGAGCTGTGACGCCATAGCACTCTACCAAGGGCAAAAAAAGTGAGGCTCTGTAAAAAAATAAATAAATAAAAATAAAAACCCAGCTGCAGTGAGGCAAGAGAATCGCCTAAGCCCAGGAGTTAGAGGTTGCTGTGAGCTGTGACACCACTGTACTATACTGAGGGTGATAAAGTGAGACTGTCTCTAAAAAAAATGAAAAAATGAAAAAACAAAGCTGGTCTGAGTGCAGTGGGGTTTATAACTAATTGATCACAACCAGTTACAGATTCCTTTGTTCCTTCTCCACTCCCATGCTTTGCTTAACTAGGAAAAGAAAAAACCCAACTGCTAAATACCAGATAGTCAAGTTCATAAAGATCTCTACTAAGCTAGGATTTATGTAATTAAAACACTTTTCTTCAACCCTGGATGTCAAAAGCCTTTCCCAGAGCATTAAGGTGGCTCTTCTCACCGCGCTAAGGCTGGCAAGTTCTCAGAGTTTCCTCCTCCTTCTTTCCTCAGCCTCAGCTTCCTCAACTCTCCTTCCTTCTTGTTCTTCCTCCCACCTTTCCTTTCCCTCAAGCCTCTCCATCCTCAGCCTCCTCCTAAACTCTTCCTTCCTAATTTCCTCTCCTTCTCTCTTATGGAAGTTCATTTCCAGGCTCTGAGGAATTCCTGGGCACATGAAGGCCCAACCCTGAAAGTAGACGCTCTAGGTCCCCACACCTTCATGGCCTAACTCCCCAGCCTCTTGCTGTTTTCTACAGATGACACACGAGGGGCATAGAAAAGCACACGTCTCAGTCTTTAAATATTTGTTTAATTGTTTTCAAGTGAAAGCATTTGATCAGAACCCATGTCATTTTAAAATCTGGGGGATTTTAAGAAAAAGAGAGAGGTAAACACTCAAGTCCTTATAGTTTCCTTAAGATAAGCAAAGTCAGTCATGACTGGAGACCAATAACCTTGCACGTACATATGTAGTGACCATGAGGTCTAGAGGTTAGCCAAACCCAAACATCGAAAAGTCATCTGGGGCTCGGCACCTGTAGCACAGTGGTTATGGTGTTGGCCACATACACCAGGCTGACAGGTTCAAACCCATCCCAGGCCAGCTAAACAACAGTGGCAACTGCAACAAAAAAAAACAATAGTCGGGCATTGTGGTGGGCACCTGTAGTCCCAGCTACTTGGGAGGCTGAGGCAAGAGACTCACTTGAGCCCAAGAGTCTGAGGTTGTTGTGAGTTGTCACACCACAGCACTCTACCGAAGTCTAATAAGACTCTGTCTCAAAAAAAAAAAGTCATCTGGAATTCTTACTATAACAAAAGGCTGAGAAGTTGAATAAATTTGGCCACAATATATAGGTAGTATATTGAAGAATTTATGTCACTTCCAAGTGCAAGACAGTGACTTGCTTTAGCTTATCTGGTGATAAAAATATAGGAGCCCTGTTCTGGAGATTTAATGATATGGGAGGCATGAATACACACGCGGCAGTCTTGGGAAAACAGTAGCCCTCAGTTCTCTCACAGTCATTACAGCACCTTCCAAGCAGAATTCAAAGTCTGGGTTGCTGATCTTGTATGGCCACGTGGAGGGATGAGTCCCTCGCACAAGTGAGACCAAAAGAGATGGACACTGAGACTGAACTGACGGCCAAAACCTTGTTGATCTGAGATAGCCAAAGACTTGGCGACCAAAATCACTAACATGATCAGCCGACACAGCGTGGACATCAGCCTCCTCCGTCTCACCTGATCATCTAGTGGACAGAGAACAAGAAGACGCAGCGATCGCCTGGCCACCCCCTTGAGGGACGTCTGTCTGAGTTCTCCCAAAGCAGGCCCCAAGGTAGTCCCAGGAAGTACAAGTAGGGCGGGGGGGGGGGGGAAGTGACCCAGGGAAGGAAACCAAGCCAGTGAAGGTGTGTTAAAGAGAGGTTCCACTGTGGACAGCAGGGCTCAGTCCTGCTGGGGACCCCTGAGGGACTGTGTGGAACCCATTGGGATGTCCTTATGTGGGTCACATGTGGCTGTTCCCATAGCCAGAGAGATGCAGGAAGTCAGGAGAACTTTCAGCAAGGCCCAGGGAATGTGAACAGGGCACCAATGCCAAGGGCTCTGGGGCCAGCTTTAATTGAGAACTCAGGCTTTGTTCTGGCCTGACAGTTCTTAGCAGGCAGAGAACGAGGGACCAACACAATGGACCCCGACTCGGGTCTATACTACCCACAGCTGAGCTGTAGGGCTCTGAAGTCATCTAACCTCACCAAGGGTGAGTTTCCACAGGCAAAGAGAAAGGACGAGGTTGGGTCATTTCTAGGGTTAAAACCTGCCCTGCCTGTAACCACAAGACTTCCCCAAGGCAGTGCCAGGCCCTCCCCGACATCCTGCATCTGCACAATGGGACGTGATTTCCACTACATCCAAGTGCCACTTGTGCTCTTATTATCTCCATATCTTTCTTTAAATTGACTCATTTTCCCTAAGATTTGTTTGAAAAGGAACTTTTTAATAAATAAAAGATGATCATAAAAAATGCATAACTACAGGCTCAGCCCCTGTAGCACAGTAGTTACAGCACCAGCCACATACACAGGCTGGCAGGTTTGAACCAGCCTGGGCCAGCTAAAACAACAATGACAACTACAGCAAAAAAAATAAATAAATAAATAGATGGGCATTGTGGCGGGTGCCTATAGTCCCAGCTACTTGGGAGGCTGAGGCAAGAGAATCACTTGAGCCCAAGAGTTTGAGATTGCTGTGAGCTGTGATGCCACAGCACTCTACCAAAGGCAGCATAATGAGACTCTCTCTCCAAAAAAAAACTTCATAACTACAAAATGTCACTCCTCCAGGTGCCACCTAAAATCATCTCCCATCCCACCAAGGCTATGACCCCACACTCTAGAGAAAAGCACACTGGCCTAGTGTAGGATAGAGCCTTCAACGTACCACTTGACGTGGTCTGTCACATCAAGTGCTCCAAAATAATACCCGTGACCATGGATCTGACACCACCACATGAGGCAGGTCATGTACAGTAATACATCGTTTAATTCTCACAGGACACCTAGACAGACTTCCACTGCAATGGACAGGACTGCTATGTCCCCATTTCACAGATGAAGAAGCTGAGGTTCAGCAAGATGAGGCAATTCACACACAGTCTCTGAGACAGTCGATGGCAGCACGAGGACACACTCCTCCTTTGGACCCTGCAGCTCAGTTGTGGGTGGAGGTCTCTTATCCTGGACCCAGGGAACAGTGACGCCCATTCCCTGTGCTGGCCTCACACGTGCTCTTGGTAGCATCTTTCCCCAGAACCTTCCTAACATCCATTCTCACGGGACTGACACCTCAAATGTCCACACTCTAGGTCATGATACGCATGAAGGTGGCAGAGCTATGTTCTCTGGTGGTAAAATGCGGAGATGGCTTTTCCTCGTTTTTCATGATCTGCACTGCCTGATTTTTCTACTGAGGATACGTACTGCTGCTGTAATAAGAGAAAAATGACAGGGGTTTGAGCTTTTTTTTTAATCCACTGTCATTTTCCATCAAGTGGAAATGTTCCTCAAATGTTCCTTTGTCAAATGTTCCTCATTTGATAAAGAGGAACCCCATTTTTTGGAGGAATGCCCAAGATGGCACTGCGTGAGTGACGACCTTAGAAGTATGTCTCGAGAAAGCCCTGCCTGCATCGAGGACAGACACTCACAAAGCACCACGTGTTGGCGCTGAGCAGGGTGGGGGAGGACCTGAACTGGCACCTCAGGAGAGGGTGTTAGGCAGCCAATGTCCCAGGAGGCAGTGGTCTGTGAACAAGACAGTGGCCCACATGCAGCCTGGTATTGCCAACAAATGTAAGAATGGGGATGAGGTACAGTGTCAGCAGAACAGCAGGGCGATGTTGGGCTAATAAGGCCCAACTGCCAGCCCAGACCTCAACAGGCCTGGGGCCATCACTCTGCGGAGAATCCTTGAACCTCTATCTTTAGGGCTTTCCTCAAGCACATTCTCACCATCACCTTTGTGTTTACATTACATTAGGGTGCTTGTATGCCATCCTGGTTGGCCTGGGACTGTACCAGTTTACAGCAACTAACCTGAATAATTATTGACAGCACCCTCTTTCACATAAGCCTCCTGGTTTAGATAATCATTATGTATGTTCACACAGAGAAGGGGCCCGGTAAGCAGGTAACATGGACAAAGCAAAATTCCATTTCCCTAGATTTTAGTTCTGATTTTCCCACAATGAGCAGAATAATTCTAGACAACAGCTGGACAAAGCAAGGGAAGGCAAACATCCCAGGCTTACCCTGACTGTCTAAAGGGGGTGTTTGGAGTTCTACATGGAGAAGAATCCTTAGGCATCTCTGGGCACAGCAGGGCAGAGTCTGCTGTTTGACCAGTGATTATGATGAGGCTATAGGCACAGAAGAGGGTCCGTCCCCACTGCTCCTTCCACTCTGACAGGTGGAGCTCAGAAATGATTGGAAAAGGACAATGCTTAAAGCTTTTGCCATGCCTGGTTCTGTACAACCAGGATTATTCTGCTCTTTGGTGGTATTCTCCCAGCTAACACAGAAAATCCAATTAGTCGGGATGATGATGGAGAATCCCAACAGCCAAGTGACCCTGCAAGGAACAACTCTCACAGGAAGCTCTGCAAAAGTAGCTCAGAATCCCTGCTACACCCGTGTGGCTGCTTTACATGCTATGCGAAGAGGGAGCTTGAGGGCAAATGGAAATTATTTCCTCTGTCATCTTAAGACTTCTCCTGCGGAGTAGCAACCTCAAGACCCTTAGCCAACAGGATAGAGGAGTCCCTGCATCCAAATGACCACTTCCCAAAGCAAGCCCCTTCCCAGGTTTTGCTGTCTGGATAAGCAGAACAGTAAACTGGCAGCTTCTCACTTTAACACTGGCACATTTTGCTAACCCAGCACAACAAGCTGCATGGTCTGTGTTTCTCGAGAGAGACCGTGTTTCTTGGAGTAGAAGTGTGTGTAACCGGGTGTGTGAGTTGATGCACAAAGACTCAGCTGAAATTAAGAATTAAGAAAGACAGTGACTACAAAAGAGGTCGGCAAACCCTCAAGGAACAGAGGAGGCATGGGAGACAGTCGTGTCTGCCATTCAGCTCCACACTGAAATCAAGCTACCCAAACCCGAGGACACGCTCAGCTCACCTTGTTAAGCCGTTCAAGCATTTCTTTTAGCAGCAGTTGACATTCACACTCATTTTCATACCTGCAAATTGGACACATAAGCAAAAGTTGGGCGGCTTTCATGATTTTGTATGGATCATACACACTCAGCACTAAATTTAATCTGAGTACTACAGGCCTCCTTTAAGAAGCTCTAATGTCACGGGAGCAGCTAATGCTGCGTTTCCCAGCCCACTGCTTCCCCGTCCTTTTCACGCTGTGGCTCATGCAGAAATGGGAACATTTGCACAGTGTGTGGTATTAACAGGGAGCGGTCGGTGGAACACAACTCTCCAGCCCGGAGGCGCCAACCCTCCACCCGCCCCTCATGCCCTGCCATCCTGAGGATAAGGGAATTACATCCCCCGTACCTGTAACAGCAGCATAGAGCCCAGGAGCACATCAGACACTATCGCCCACAGACACCTTTAACCTGACCTCACTTGCATTTTGCTGGTATGTGTGACCTGTCAGTTTTTCTAGATTATGTCATTTAATCCTCACAACACCCTGGAAGAGAGCAGTTATCATTAATAGCTGTGTGAAAGATGAGGAAACTGAGGCTGAGACACTTGCCCAAGGCCACAGGCAGATGCTTTCACACATAACCTCATCCTAGTGGCATCACACCTACACAGCCTCCTCTGAGCAGGGTATGCTGGACATGCCAGGGGTCAGGGCCCCTGGAGGGAGCCCTCAACCTCGAAGAAGCTGCCTGGTGCATTAACACCCCCACTGCCTCCCCCTCAGCTGGGATAACTGAGGCATAGTCTACATCCGGCAGATTGAGCTCCATCCCCCTCAGCTGGGATAACTGAGGC